GGGGGGGGGGTGTCCGGTCGTGGGGCCTGAACTCTGGGCCTGGGCACTGTCCCTCAGCTCTTCAGCTCAAGGCTAGCACTCTACCAACCTGAGCCACAGTGCTACTTCCGGCTTTTTTCTTTTTGCTTATGGGGTGCTGAGGAATCGAACCCAGGGCCTCAGCCATGCAAGGCAAGCACTCTACCACTGAGCCACCTTCCCAGCCCCAAATGAAGTGTTCTATATGTACTGTTTGTGAGAATGTGAATTAGACCAGCCATAATGGAAAGCAATAAAGAAGTTCCTCAAAAAATTAAAAATAGAATTTCTATATGATCCAGCTAACCCACTCCTGGGAATATAATCAAAAGGATCAAAGTTGGTTTGTTAGATATCTTCAAGTTTATATATATGTATATATATATATATATATATATATATATAGTTACAATAGCCAAGATCACGCTGACCCTGAGCCTTCCCAACTTTGGGTACAGTCAGAGATGAAAAGGTCAAGTGAGTCACTGGTCCCAATAGAACCAAGAATATTGAATGGCACTACTAATACCTGGTGCTTGCCCTGGACTCCAGCAGAACATAAAACTGGCAGCTCTGCAGTGAAATCAAACAACTGAAGCAGGAAAAGAAAGACCTGTAGGATCAACAAGGGGAAAAAATGAGAAGATGACCAGTATGCAGGAAGCACTGAAAACAGAACTTTAGCTCCACAAGCTATCAATAGAGAAGTTGATTTCAGAAAAATTCAATTTACAATCTGCCCTAGCCTACAAGCAGCAAGTAGCCAATGAAAGAGAATTGGATCATGAAGATCTTGCCAGCTGCCTGCTGACTTCACAGCAGCATGCTGCAGAGGTAGAGAAGACATTGTCTGCAGTCTCTACCACACAAAATGAGACAGACAAGAACAACCCAGAGCTCATTAAAGACCTGAGCAATATAAAGCTATAGCTCCAGGAAAAGAGCAGAACCTATGATGACCTGGAGGAAGAGAACACTGAACTTCAGGAGAGGCTGGGAGTGCTCCTGACACAGAAGGCCAACATAAAGATCAAAATTCACCAGTTTCAACAAGCACTAGTGGAGCAGGCAGAGTTGGAAAGACAACTGGACAATATGAAAGAGTTGTTGACAGCATTAAAGTTAAAGAGAGACAACTCTATTGAGGACCTGAGGGTGGAGAGCTTCAAGTGGCTGGAGAAGGTCCAGAAGCTCTTGGAGCAGATGAAAGAGGAGAAAGAAAAAGGGGTGAGGCAGGTGTTGAGGTAGATACCAACCTGGTGGAATTGAGAAAACAGCTGTCAGAGCTGCCACCCCCACAGCCTCCTACAGGAACCATATCAGGATGAGCAGCAGCTGCAGGCCCAGACCTACCAGATGCAAAAGGAGCTCAAGAACCTGGAGGAGCAACTTTACACCCAGATACAGGAAAACCAGAGCCTGGGACTCCAGCACATGGAGCAGCAAGAGTGAATGTGGATACTGAAGAAGAAGGCTGAGGAATGGGATGAGCATGCTGAAGATCAGCACAACCATGAGGTGCATATTGGTATACAACTGTTAGCTGAAAGATCAGCTGGTCCAGCTGACTGAACAGTGAGAAGGAGGAGTTAACCAGCACCCTGCACTCAGCGCAGCAGGTGAAGAAACAGCTGCAGGAGAAGCTGAACCAGTTAGAAGAGAAGTTAGAAGAATGGAAAGAGATGGCTGGGTTACAGAGCCAAGCTCAGAATCTGCAGGAGCTGCATGACCTGGCCAGCTGCAGGAGCTCAGAGCTACCCAGGATCAGCACATGGCCTCCAGTCAGCAGCTGACCTCAGAGAAGGAGGCCCTGCAGCACCTGCTGAGGCACACCCCACTGCTGGAGCAGCTGAAGCAGGAGCAGGTGCAGAGCAAGTTAGGGGATCAGGTGGTGCCTCAAATTTACAGGAAACACTGACGTGCCTGGAAACAACAAGACAGGAGAATGAGCAGCTGCGGGCCCAGATGAACTTCCTGGCTTTTGCTTGGCAAGGTGAAGGAGTAAGCAAAGAATAAAAGGATGAGGAGGCAACTCCCCCTGATGTGACTGTCCCAGAGGACATAAACAACCCACAAACCATGAGGGATTTTTACCTTAAAGCACTATCAGTTGCTGAATCAGCCAGCAGCTGCAGGAGCAGCAGGCCAGCTGTGGGTGCCTGGCCAACCAGGCAGCCCAGTGCCAGACAGAGCTGGAGCACCAGGCCCTCTTCCCCAAGAGCTGGAACCATGGAGTGTCTGGGGAGAGGAAGCAGGACAGACAGGTGCTCAAGAAGCTGCTTCATCCATGACCTGCCTGACAAGATGATTACAGAGTTAAGTGGATGACCTCCAACATCAATGCAGCCAACTGTCAGAACACATGACTGCCATAGGAGTCTGTAAAGAACAGATGGAAGTCTTTGATGGGCTGCATCAGGAGAAAGATGAGTTTGTTAAACAGCCATCCCAGGAGAAGAGGAATATGAAGGAACTGCAGGAGCTACTGTTGCACCTTGCAGGTAAAGGCACTGAGTGTCAGGGCAAGATGTCTGCAACCACCCAGACCCCAACTGCTGAGGACCTCTCAGACTTGCCAAGCCCCACAAGATGGAAGTTATGGAGGAGGCACTACTTGAAGAGGATGTAGAGCCTTACCCAAGGAAAGGCTGGGGTGCCTTGCCCTCTGGATGGCCCCACCACAGAGCAGATCATGCTACTGCTGTCCCACAGCCAGCACCACCAAGAGCTTGCAGGCTTGGGCAAGGAGCCCTCCTTCCCTTTCTTCTCCAGGCTTTTGCAAATGAGTTTGAGATAATTACTATCTAAAGACCCAACAGCCACTGCCTAGGCTTCTTTTGCACATACTTCAAAATATGACAACTGTGTGTCATTCTCTTAAGCTTCTTAAAATGCTTGATGGGAAGGAGCAACTGCAAGCTAGACAGGGCAGAAACTGCTAGGAAGTGGCCAAAACGCTAGGGACATCTTCCATTGTTTGCTAGGGAAGAGGCCCATGTGATGGTTATTACAAAGAGTAAATTCTTTCCAAAGGAAGATGGCATAGTTTTCCATTAACATATTGTATTCACAATGTTATTTTATAAACTACTTCTATATAGCATATTCATTATTTCTGATATATTTGAATGCTGATTTATGGAGTAGTTTTTATAATTCTTTAGATTTTTAAGGAAAAATTTATATTACTGAAATGAATTATTTCATTATTTAGCATCATATAGTGGTGCATTCATGCATTTTCAAAAATCATATTATGTACCAACAGCACTGAATTTTCTTGTTTGTATTTTAATATAGTACAGTGGTAGTACACTGAGGTTGAAAAACAGTACAAACTGAAAAGTGAAGAAAAGTGCTAAGACATTTTGGAAAAAAAATATTAATAGCACAAATATGCTATTTTTTCTACCTGTATTGGAAAAACACACCAAAGAAGTACAGAAATGTAATGCAGAATAATATAATACAGAATCATAAAACATCTACCATGAGAATATCAAGCATCTTGTTTTCACTTATGAATTGTTCAAGTTATAAATATGACATTTTGGTCACTGAATCAAGTAAGATATTCAAAAAATTTTAAAGATTTGGCATAAATCAACTCTTATCTTACTTGTAAGATAAGAGATAATAGAAACACTTAAGTTTATTACTGGGTGGGATGGAAGAGACTAGTAGTTTTTAAGGATCCTCAGCTGTGCTCCTAGTTAGACTGCATCCTCAGAGCTTCCTATTGGAGATCATCATTTGTTTCTGGAAATAGGATTGAACTTGAAAGGTATAGCTAAATCTCTAATTCGATAGGATTCAGGTAAGACTTCTGCCTCAGCTTCACAGGAAAGGAAACCTCTCTAAAACTTATGGATCCACAGTGTCTGAAACACAAGTATTTTGTATAAAATGGCCTTTGGGCACTTTGATGAAGCCATTGGAAATATTTAAATTCTCTGTTTTTTTTCTTTGTGTTTTCATTTTCCTTACTTTGACCAGAATTATGATGTGACTGCAATAATTAGGTCCAAAAGAGAAGAGAAGATGGTGATATGGGGTTTTTGTTTTATCTTGTGCATCATTTGTGATCATTTTGCATTATAAGAAGGTGTATCTGACAGGCTTAAGTAGTTGCTATTCTCTTGGCATTTTAGTATATAGTTTTTAAGTAGAAGGTGTCATAGATTGCTTTAATAATTATTTTTGTTCCATAAAAGGAAAATAATCAGTTAAAAGTGGTACTGGGATTCTTTTTTATTTTTCTGATCCTGGGTCTTGAACTTGGGGCCTGGGTGCTATCCCTGAGTCTCTTTGTGCTCAAGGCTAGTGCTGTACCACTTGAGGCACAGAGCCACTTCGAGCTTTTTCTTTTTTCTTTTTTTAAATATAGATTTTTATTGTAAAGATACTGTACAGAGGGGTTACAGTTACATGAGCAAGGTAATGAGTTCATTTCCTATCAAGCATTGTTACCCCTCCTTTGTTTTTCCTCTACTGTCCCTTCCCTTCCCACCTCCCAACTCCTCTCACCCCCATCCCCACTGGCAAAGTTGTAAAGTTTGTGTTCAACAAAGTTTCTTGTACATCTCATTATTACAGTGGGTCATCCTGTATCCTTATTTCAGCATTTTGTTATTTCCCTTCCCCTCTCCCAATTAGAAAAATGTATATAGAAAATGCAGGACACCAGAATCAAATACAGTGACAACAGGGGTTATACCATGGGGGAAGAACATACAAAGAAACAAAAAAAATCACATAGTACATTATAAGTACATTAAAAAGAACAAAAAGAAAGATAAAAAAATCTCTTGGGTCCCTATCTTGGGGTTCATTTCACTTAGCATCAGGTTATATGGTCATATGTACATAGCTTTTGACCTCTTCTGCTTGTTCTGAGTAGTTAGTTTATTGGAGATAAGAGACTCACAGACTTTTCTACCCAGGCTGGCTTCCAACTGTGATCTTTAGAGCTCACCCCCCTGAACAGCTAGAATTACAGGCTTGAGCCTAGGCTGGCACTGAGATTCTTTAAATGCAAGTCAATTGCAGCTCATTTCTTTTTCTTATGGTCTGCTAATGTGTTCTACCATTGGCATCTCATGAATCTATATAACTACAGGAAATGGGCAAGTATATGAATTTAGGGATGTAGGATGCTCTCCAAACAGGAAATACAAAACAGTGGCTCCAGGCAGTGGACAACATAATTTCTCAAGCTGCCAGAAGTAGTATCAAGTTCCCCCTCGTGTTTTAGTACCCCCCTCATTTTCTTTCCCTTTCCAAATATAAATAATGTGCAAACCTTGGCATATTCAGGTTTTCAATCCCACCAAGAAACATTGTACTTGAGTGATTACAGAGTAGACAACACTACTCCTAAATTCCAGAAGGAAAAAAAAAGTCCAAAATCAAACCACAGAGTTGATGAGAAGACCCTGGAGGACTCAAAGCTTGTAAATGAAACACATTGTTTCCTTTAGTCTGAGTTTCTCCTTTGATGAGAAAAACTCTAAGATACACAAAAAGAGTCCTTTATGGCTTGAGGCTCTTAGGTTGCTAATAGCTTTTGACAGTGTGTTACAGCTTGTTTAATCCAATTGAATTTGATTATTCATGTCAGTAACAAGATAAACTAGTTGACAGAAAGAATTTTTTCAGCCACTGGTTCATATTAATGTCTGAAAATTCAGCTGTCTAGAAAAGGAGATAGGGTAGCGGGAAGCCAGAGAGACATTATTGTAATCCCAAGCTGTTTCTGAAATTTGATTTTGACTATGAGAAAGCACCAGTTCTTGGGATCTAGAACAATCCTATCTGTCCCACTGGTTCAGGGAGATTCCTGTGAGAAGGAGTGCTGGTGGAGATGCTTCTCCCCTCTAAGTCAAAATATTCACACTTTCAGTGCAGTTCGAAAACTTGCAGTTCCTTTGCACTGCTACTAACCCATCATAAATGTTGGTATATCTACCTTGATGCCATGGCTCCAATCATTACTCTTATCAAAACATTGTGTATCTGCTTCTTTCTCTGATACCAACTTGCATTGTTCACTCTTACAGCGATCATGCCTCTTCTCCACAGTGGAATTCTTCAGTAGACATTTGTTCTAAGAGTAGGAAAGAGCATGAATGATTGGCTGGATAGAGAAATTATTTCAGAAATGCCAGAGGCAGTTATAATTCATAATTGGTAAAGAAATGGGCAGAACATATATTAACTTGTAGAGAGTGAGCTGAAAAGTTCCATCTTGTAAGTAGCCACCAGCACTGACATGTCAGTGCTGAGATGTGCTACAAGTGTTCAATGCACACTGGATTTCAGAGTCTTGCTATAAAAGAGGCAAAATAGCTCACTTTTATCTTGATTACATGTCAAGATGAAATTTTGATATTTTGAGTTATAGCCTATTAATGAAAAACTACATTTACATGCTTTTTATTTTTTGAATGTGACTGGTTAAAAATAATAATCCAAATTTTAATCTTACATGAAGCTCACTTTTATGACATATATTTCTCTGGAAATATATAAGTGGCATTCTTAGTGGCATTAATTAAGAAATGAGGCTTGGTTCCTGAATAAATGAGTCTAACTTCAGCCTAGCAGATGAAAGCCTCAGTGTAGGGAAAGGAAGGAAGTGGGTTTTTACTGTACATTTATCTCCTTGAAGTGCATTAAAACTGAACAGAAGAACAATGGTGTAAACATTAATCTCTCAACAACTTCTGACTCTCCACTATTTCAAAAGTATCTAGTCAGCCACACTTCCACTGAAACTTCTCATACAAGCCACTAGGAATTTGCTGATGCAAACTTCTCTCCAACTCCACAGCTGCATCAGCTTCATTCATGTGTATGTATGTGTATATATGTATATTATGTATATATGTATATGTTCATACATGCATATTCAAACCTATATGAAGTACCTTGTGCCAAGATCTCTTTCTGCAAAAAGTATGCAGTACTATTAGGGATATATGATTGCTATAACATATTGGATTTAAATTGACTGTTAGTTCTTATTTCTCAGGTAAACTGAGAAGACCATGTATAATTTAGATTTGTTCCAGAATTGCATGATGAGAGTTCCTATAGTGTCAAGAACTGAGATGAGAAAGAGTCCCCTTATAACTTGAGCTCTAGTCCTTAAAGTGCAACCTAAAGCACATTCAGGCAAAAATTAGATTCCTTTAAACAGATACTTATTAGGGATGCTCCTAACAATGTATGTCCACCCAGGAAACCTCAGTCCTCATGACTTGCGCACTGCATGTTGGTCCTCCTAACTTCAGCATGCTTATATTTGTAAAGAAGATAGCCATGTTTTTCATATGTGTGAACATATATGTATTTTTAGTGCTTTCCTGTAAGACAAACTTTATTTCCATGTATTCCAGAACACAAAATTTTAGAAGTTGGATCTTATACACTTATTTACAACAGATTTTTAATATATTTCCCCAAAACATCTTAGAGTTCTTATTCCCACCATAGGGAA